AGTTATACATGTATTACTACAATCCCTTGAACTCTAAAACTCTACAACTGACCCAGTAATAGAGCACTTACCTCCAATTCTTCATCCTCACCTCCTGCCGCGCTGCCATCTCTGCTATACCACGGTATGCCATTTACCAGCACATTCGGTCCACAATTCTTCGGCCCAAACGCCCACAAATTCCGAGCACACATCGCATACACCTGTCTGATCGGCTCATCCACCTGGAAGGCCTCCCACCCGCTTTCATTAGTCTCCTCGGTGTCTGTGTTGGGAGTGTCCTGTTGTGTGGTGGCCCTCTGTTTGCCCTGGCTTGCGGACAGGAAGGCCCGTTGTAACCGGTCGTACAGGCGTTGGCGCCATTCACTGCCACTGCTGCTCTCGTGTCCTGCAGTGTTGTTTGTTGTATGAATGGCTCGGATAAGATAATCGGTATGATAATTCATAGCCAATGCAGAGATACATAGATACATAGTACATCCGTAGTGAGATAATGGAGTCTCGGGTGAGTCTCGTAGTAAGGATAGTAAGGTGAGTGGGAAGGCGTGTGTGCTTAAACTGTACTCGTCCATCACAGCTTCCACTTGCGGTGGCAGTGGCAGTACAATACACGCACACACGACCTCATGCTTCTGCCAACAAATACGTATACACGGACATGCCACACCCACCAAGCTCTTAGCTGCATAGAAAATTTGCCCACCATATGTATACATAGGCAACACATCTAAACTCGCACACAAAACACCTAAACACAAGGCTCTAACGCCTACCTAAATCATCCACAGCTCCGGCACCCAGGCGTCTGAGTTTATCGCTGTATTCGTCGATAACAGCTCCTACTTGCGGTGGTAGTGGCAGTGCACGCACACGCACACGCACACTGCCGTCCGGAGACACGTTCACGTATACGCCTTCGCCTTCGTCCCCTTCGCCGATCTCCATACTGTTCCGCTTCTCTACACTCGAAACTTGAGGTGCATAAATGTCATCATTAACAAGTTCATCAGACTATGGCAATCGTGTTGAGGTACCATTTATTTTGCAAGAGTGATTATATTCTAGAATGCGACTAATGCACCTGAAGCAAAGATATCAACATTATTTTTGGAGCTGCATTGCATCACAGCCCAGTTACGAATTCTGATATATCTCCACACACAGCCATAATATATATATATATGTATATATATATATA